GATTTGTAGGCAATATTGAGTTATTTGAAACAGTAAACTGAAATTAGAAGGATATCTATTTTCTTGAAATTGACGAGAAAAAAGTTGAAGATAGATTGAAACGTTATCACAATCATCGATGACCATTGTCCATTGCCATATCTTTGATAATATCACAGTTCTCCACCATTACAAGACTTCTCACCTTTCTCTAATATTGTCAATGCATCTGAAATTGACAAAAATTGAAAATTGACATCAAATCGATGAAGGCAAAAAAATGTTATGAGTTGTTTTAATTAACATTTAGAATATTTCTTAGGTAAATGATTCGTTACATAACATTAGTAAAAAAATATTTCGATACTTAAAATGATGGATTATTGATTCAAATCCAACTCTTCCAATTTTTGAACGAATTCAGTCGTCTGCTTGGGTTCTGATATCTTACACTGAAGTGATAACATATGCATGTCTTAGTATTATACTATCTAAAACACTTTTCCTTTTGATAATATCATCACTAATTTTTACACATAGCAATACTATCATATGCCATGGATAGTTGCAATGGTCAATCGATTGTCAACTAATTTGTTAAGAGAATTAATGAGCATTGAATTGGAAGTTGAGGGGTCCAAAGAAGTGTCAAATTTTCTTCAACAAATTCGAGTTTGAAATGCTTTAATGAGAAGGAATGGAGAACTTAATGAAGTTCTGAATTCATTCATTAAAATGTTCTAAAAAAATTAAGCGTTAAGCATTTGAGGATTGTATCTTTTTGTCATCCACTTTTTGGTTTCATTTTGTCGATTTTCTTTTGTTTTGCCGATATCATTGACTTATATTTGGCTTGATTTTGCATAGGAATAATTAACACTTTTGTCCTGACAGATCAAAATTATTTGACAACAATTACAATTATATTGATCATACCGCTATCTATAAAAATGCATGGCTTCCAGCTTCATTTCCCATTTCCCATTGGATTTTATGGTACCAAAATATTGAAAGAAGGCCTAAGAGCATTTTCATTGCAGCTTTATATGTGTTGGCTTTTATTGAAGATTAACGAAGTCCTCAATCTATAAATGTCATTTATTTGTTCAGTTAAGAAGTAGAGAGTGGGAGAGAATTGGATATTAATCGAAGGAAAGCTGTTGCAGTTGATGGATGATTTGTTTATGGGTTAACCGCTAAACCCTTGCACCAGCCGGCTTACCAAATGCGCTTGTCGCTCTTCCACTCCAACAGTCAGGTCCACTGGTCACAATGCTGAGCTATAAATACCACACTGGATAGTAGTGGGACAAGGACATTATCACATCTGTGCTAATTAATGTTAGCTTTAAGGATTCTGGACAATCATGTATGCTTTACACGTCAAAATGCAATGGTCATCATAGAAATTGATCAGAAGAACTTGTAGTTGCTACTCCTCATAGGTTTCAGTCAAAAAGTTAATGCCTCCCTGTTACTAAATTTGCTATCGCACTATAAGTAGAACAAAGAGTTTCACATGATACTTGTCATAACTCCTACCAAGTGTTGGACTTGTCTTGTAGGAGTAAAGCAAAAATTTCATAATTCAGTCCTTCAGGTGTCGGTCAACGTCCAAATCAAAGTTATCTTCCATTGGGTTGCAAAGCCAGATTTCGTTTGAATGCTGACACAACAAATGGATGTCTTCGAATTTCATCATTCCACAAAGAGCACAATCATGACAATACTGAAGAAGACTACTTACGTGTCATATGTCGTGGATTTCTGTTGAAGTAATTTGCAGTCAGTCAATAGTTGGAACAAGTAGGGGGATTTTACACGTTGGTTATCGAGGAGAAGAATTGGAGGTCCCTTGGAGTATTAGCGGCACCACTTTGATGTGGATGATGTGTGTGTGTATGTGTCGTAACGTTGTAGACAAAGGGGGGAGAGTTTAATTCTTTACTTGTAAATGGTAAGGGTCACAAAAACGATACGATACAGCTAATAATGATGAAAGGAAAGGAAAAGGAATCAACCAAACTGCTTGAACGTAATGAAGAAACTGGTCATAAAAGGCACCCCCAACAAACACTCAATCCAGCTTATATACGGAAAAAAGTGGGAGTGGGTTTTTCTAAATATTGCAACAGATGTGATTTAAAACAAAGATCTAAGACATGAGTGATGATTGCATGGATAGATAATTTTTATACTTTGGTCTTTCGCGTAAA